TTTTTTGTGCAAGCACCATACTGTTTTCATTACTGCAGCTTTGTAGTATAGTTTGAAATCAGGGAGCATGATACCTCCAGCTTTGTTCTTCTTTCTTAAGATAGGTTGGACTATTTGGGATCTTTTTTGTTTCCATACAAATCTTAGAATTATTTGTTCTCGTTCTATGAAAACTGCCATTGGTATTTTGATAGGGATTGCACTGAATCTGTAGATTGTCTTGGGTAATATGGCCATTTTAACAATGTTAATTCTCCCAGTCCATAAGCATAAAATATCTTTACATTTATTTGTGTCTTCTCTATCTTTCCTCAATGTCATATGGTTTTCAGTGTACAGATCTTTTACTTCCTTGTTTAAATTTATTCCTAGGTATTTTATTCTTTTTGATGCGATTGTAAACGGTATTGTTTTCCGGAATAAGTTTTTTAAAATAAAACCTTTTATTTTGAGATAATTGGAGATTCACATGAAGTCATAAGAAATAATACAGAGAGATCCCATGTACTCTTTCTGCAGTTTCTCCAAATGGTAGATCTTGCAAATTTATAAGCACAATCTACAATCATAATCAATATAATCATAATAACGTTGATGCAATCAACCAATCTTATTCAACAAGATCTTTAATTTTCTTCTTTCTTTCACTCATTCTTTCCTTCCTCCACTTCATGCCTAAGGAATACAACCTCTTCTTGCTCTCTTTAATCCTCTCCATTTAATCTCTTTAATCCAATCCACTTCAGGCCCTACACACTTTTAAGCCCCTTCCCTGTAGCCAGGGCTGTGAACTGCCAAATCCCAACCTGTGTTCACCATTTTTGTGTTTTACTTCCTCCTACTGGCTCCCTGGTCCTGACTGCCGGTACCCACAGGCTCGCTGGAAGGGCTGCAGGTATTGGAAGCTTTGTTAGAATTTGTTTCTTTTTTTCCTTCATAAGTGACTTGAAGGTTGCAGTGTTCTCTATCTCCTAACAATGCTTAAATCATGGGTCCTGTCTAGTTTAATTGTACTTGTTGATCTTACGGTTACTTTGGGAATGTGATGGGAAGATTTGGAGTCAGGCTGCTACTATTGTTCTTCAGCCTCATTCAATGTCTCTAACAGCTTTATAAGTTACTGTCAACCCTCAGTCCTTTAAATAGGAGGAAACTGAGGCCCAGAGAAGTTAAGTGATACCAAGAAGCTGGTAAGTGGTGTGCCGGGAATTGCTGATACACGTTTAATAAAATTTGGGGATTAAAGCGAGGAGAACATTTCTGTTGCTTGGACCACTGCTATGACACAGAGCCACAGTGGCTACTGACACTTCTGCTTGAATATCTCCAGTGTTAAGGGACTCATTGCCTCCAGTGAGCCTGCTCCATCTTTGGATGCTCTAATGTGGCTAAAAGTTCTTTCCTATGCTATGTTGAACTCTGCTTCTGTATATCTTTGGCTCTGGTAAAAGTTATGTCAGTTTCGTGCAAGTAAAGCTCAAGCGTAAACCCTGCTCTGTGTTCTAGTCCTTTATCGTTGGAAGTCAGAAACACATCCTAGTCTTGCGTCTCCTTTACCAAGAAATGGCTGTGTTGTTATAGACACGTCCTAGTTTACTTACACCTCTACAGAAAGGAACACCATGTTGGAAAGATCTGGCCAACGTAAGAGTACAACAATAATGTGCTGTCCTAGTCTGAACATTAGACCATACACCATGTAAATTGCATTGTGGGTTTCTTTTTTTGGACTGTCATGTTGCTCTTTGGGCCACAGAGGCAATGGTTAGGAAAAGCCTAATTTTTCCCGCATGTGCTGGTGACAAGTCATATGCCCTGTGTAGTCCTTGCTCGGTTAGGTGTCTGATTCCAGAGGCTGAACTTCTATCCATTCAATCCATTGTATCCAACCTGGTGCATCTTTTTGCCTTACTCAGATTTCACCTGGACTTTGATCCATCTACTGTAACACCCTTGCTTTCTTTAAAAAAATTATTCACGACTCCGACAATGCCTTTATCTTAGTGAACGTAAAAATGCAGTCGGACAGGACTGAAAACAGTCCTGTGGCCACTCAAATTTTCCCTCTAAATTGGTGATTCTTAAAGCAATACTTTTTAAGATGTGCGACAAATTATGGGTAGAATACAACACTCTTCTTTAGCCATTTAATATTCTTTAATGTGTACCCACCTGAAAACGTAGCCAAATATTTGAAAATGTTGTAAAACAAAATTTTTAGTTTTGATTTCCAATAAACGGGTCAAATAATCTCCACTTTCAATAGGCCAAGTCTTCATTCTTCCCCGTCTTTCTACCCCTATCCTAGCCCATTTCTCAAAGGATAAAATTCCTACACGTTCTTTTTAATAGATACCATTGTTTCACTGATTTTGAGTATCGCCGGTATAGGTAATGCCACATACTCTCATGAGCTATTTCTCAGCACGTATGGACATTTTGATTTTACCTCAGTGGTGTTTCTTTCTCCTCCTCGGGCAGGATGATAGCCCCTCGGCCAGCTGGCTGCATATATGTTCCTAACAAGAGACTGTGACCTAATCACAGTTTATTCACTGAACTTGGGGGATTATCACATATGGTGGGAATAAAAAATTGTTTCTAACCTAGAAAGCAATGAATATGTTTTATAGGAATTTATCTTCTGTAAAATTCCCCCACATAATACACATCCACGTAAGGTTAATACAGTGAACGCCCATGTTGTTCTAAATGGAAGATCAAGTTTTTTTTAATGAAAGTTAAAAAATCCCCACTCCCATAACCAAGCAACCCAAAGGCTCACAATAAGTAAGGGGGTCTTAGATCAGACCCAGGCCTATTAGAAGAGCCAATACAGCACGTAAGTTTTACCTAAACTTTATTTGCTAGTTGCTGTTACCAACAGAAAATGCTGATGCTGTTCGAGTCATCAAGGAAGTCTTCATCCTCTAAAATATACAAAACTTTTAATATGTATGTAGGTTATAGAAAAATGATCAAAAATGGTATTCCCAGACAAATTTGCATACTAATCACCACTGTTGAATATGAATAATAATCTTGGTGTATTTGAGATCTGTCAGATTTCTAATGGTTTAAGTAACAGGAGAAATAACTTAAAAAGTTTTTCTGTTAAAAAATAATACTTCATAGAATGTCTTTGCAATGACAAAATTATAAGGATGAACAGGTTAGTGGCTGCCAGGAGTCATAGGGATGGCAGAGGGAGGGGAGGTGGGCGTGATCACAGAGAGAGAGATGTTTGTGGTGATGGGACAGTCTGTGTATTAACAGCATTGGTGGTTACATGAATCTATGTACACGTAATAAAATGGTAGAGAACTACACACGTGCATTGTACCCATGTCAGTTTTATAGTTTTGATAGGGCATTATAATTTTTAAGATGTAACTATTAGGGGAAACTGGGTGAAAGGTTATAGGATCACCCCATACTATTTTTGCAACTTTTTAAAAATCTACAATTATTTCAGAATAAGAAATGAACAAACAAACTATACATTCTATTCATTGTATAGATCATCCTGCAACTTAGATATTTGCCAAGGTTAAACATATACACAATAATTTCTCTAACCATTTATGGAATGAGGCAGGATTATAAACAAATAAAATAGTTTAAAAGAGCTATCGAATGAAGGTTTAGGCATTTTGTGATTAAATAACTTTACAGGGTTAAAGTAACCAAACAGAATCAATTTTTGCAAATAAGAGAAAGAGAAAACCCCAAGCCTCTAAAAAGGCAACCCTGCTAATTTAGGGGGTGATGCTTCTTCTTTGTCCTTTCCACCCTACATGAACACCTGTTGCCTGTAGTCATTCAGGAACTCAAGTAATGCCTGGGTCCCTGGGGTCTTCTGTTCACTTGGGCTTCAGAGGAAGGAGCTCGAGAGGGAGGTTCAGAACCTCAGGTTGTTCTCGCTTGTTGGTTGTCATGGTGACCGATGCTACTCAGCTGTGTAGCATACTCCGCTGGTGGATTTGGAAGTCCCCAAACTCTGAATTTAAACATGAGAACCTGGATAAATTTGGGGATTGCATATAGAGAGAAAGCAATACATGCATGGGTGATGGTGTTACTTTACAGAGTCATACTGCTCGAGCGACAATTAACGTAAAGATGGTTGAAGTCATGTACCAGCTCGCGCTATAGAAACTACAAGCTCAAGTGAGAAACGTAACACTCAGGACAGGTGTGCATTCTTTAGCTAACATTGTTGCTGACAGTTTGTTGCCAGAACTTGAATCTCAGAATTAAGAAAGGCAGAAACATTTCTCAAGAGGCTGGCAGATCATGGCATTAAAGCTCCAGACTAAACACATGGGCCAGAGAATGAGAGAATTTTCTTCCACATGCTCGTAATCTTGGACTAACCACAGACAACAGATTGCACTTTAAAATCACTTTCATTTCTATAATAAAACTAGAAGGCAAGCGACAGAACTAAGCTCAGGTTCCTACAGACCTACAATACCAAAGGAGAGCTCATGCATGAAAAAATCATGAACTGCTGGGTCAGAGAGACCTGCACTCGAGACGTGAATCTGGCATCAACAAGCTATAGGAGTTGGGGTGAGTTATTTAAGCAAATTATTAAATTTAGTCCAGATTGTGTTATGGCTGCAAACTCTCTCTCCATCCTCAACCCAAATCTCAGGAGTTTACCGGAACAAAAATTCCCTTTGTCTGAGTGTCCATACTGGTCAGCAGAGTGATGCTGTCCAATAGTCGCTCAAGGATCTGGGATGACAAAGGCTGCACTTTGACGAGCGTTTCACCAACACAGGGGAGAGGGATGTGGTGAATTGTCTGAAGGCTCTCGATGCTTCCCTGGCACTTCCGTCCACGTTTCACAGACCGAAGCTGGTCCCAGAGCCACACCCCACCTTTGAGGACGTAGAGAAGCGCTACTTTCCTGTGCACAGAAGGGAAGGAGATCTGGACCATCTGTAAACAACCCAGTGACCACCGCATTTTCTTAACTCTTTCCATTTCAGCTTCCTCCCCTGGAAAAACTGGGACGATAATACTCGACTCAGAGGGTCTTTTGCTCGTGGCTGAATGGTTAGGAGTGATCTCTGGCCCCACCCTGCCTGGACCCTGAATAGTCCCTGGTACACAGCAAGGACACTGGGTATTTGCTTTTGGCCCCAGACGTGGCTTCTGGAACAGAGACTCCTCAGGGAGGGCTGGTGGCACTCAGGATGATGATACCAGAATGGAGGCCATGCTCGCCGTTGTCCGGCACTGACGTCATGAATACTTGTGAAGAAAACGTCAATCACATCTAACCAGGTCCCACCTGGTAGCTGCAGTGGATCCTGTGGAATGTGAAGAGGTTCACGGAAGCACACGTTTAGCAGTAAGTGCAGCCGGAACGGTGCCCCCAGACGAGCAGCCTCCTGAAGCAGTGTCACCTCTGTGTGTGCCCCGCTGCCCAGTGGCATCGCTGTGCTGGCATTCTGCAGACACGGGGGGTGGCGGGGGGGCATCGTGGAACAGGAGGGGGCGGGAGGGGTGGGGGGGGGGCCCAGCATCACTGCCGTGACTGCGGGTAACCAGCACCATCTGATCCGAGCTCCCAGGAGGAAAGCTGGGTCCCTCCACGACCGGGCCAGCAACAGTAAGAAAAAGGCAAAGGTGGTGGTAAAGACGTTGTTTTAGGAGTGTTTTAAGCCTAGGTGTTGAAAGCTTTTCAGGACATCTAGGAGTTCACAGCTTTCCCGTGACTGAACCGCACCTGAAGTGCTGGATGTTGTCTGACCCTCGAGTGACGGGCATCACCAAACTGCAGAAATGACTTTTAGCCTATGACGCTTGGAGGTTAAAATAGGGTGTATTTTTCCCTCTGGGCCAAAAAGGTAGTGCTTCAACGCCATAACTGACTTTTTGGTGCCGAAGCAGGTGATGAACTGAACGTTACAGAATGTTTGGCTGTCACTCCAAGATCACAGGGTATTTTTCTGGTCGGTCTGGAGGCAAATTTTCTTCTTTAATTGTGATTATTTTTAGGATCATCCAGGTCACATATTTATCTGTTTTAGCCCTGCAGGCTCCCAGGGAGAACACTACAGAGGTGTGTTAAACTGAAGACCCTAAGCTGTGTAGAGTTCAAATGTTCCTGAAAGTCGGTCCTCTTTAACACTATGTGAGTTTATCTTAAAACTGTTATTTTAACCAAAATTATTGTGTGTGTGTGTGTGTGTGTGTGTGTGTGTGTGTGAGAGAGAGAGAGAGAGAGAGAGAGAGAGAGACTCTCCCAAGCCCCGTAAGAGTGGCATTTCCCAGTTATTGTGACAACAAGAAATGCGGGCACACGTTTCCAAACCCCCTGGTGAGGCTGTGCTGTTCCCAGATGAGAAGCATTACACCGAGCTAGTGAGCACACGTGGCTTGATATAGGAAGGAGTCGAGATTTTCTAGTTTGGGCTGAATATAAAAGCTCCCTCACGCTGGTGTTAGAACTTGAAAATTTTTTTTTTCCTTAAAAAATAAAATTTAAAAGACAGTTTTAATAACCACAAAACGTTCCTTCATTCAAAGAAAAGACAATTCAATTACAATAACCATTCTAAAGATGAAAATAAAAACGCCAAATTTACAGTCTATTTGTATTCTTGACCATGAGTGGTAGAGGGTTTACATTTCTCTAGCCCAGTCCTGGGAACTACTTTGAGGCATCAGGGTCCAGCTAGCAGCCCCTCCTTCCGTTCTTATGTGGCGACTGGTGCCTGGGGGACCCTGGGTGAGCCCATTAATATTTTGATGGCTTGACTGCTTCCCTGAAACACGCATAGTAGCTGAAGCCATGTGGCAACGTGGCCACAGATGGACGCCCTTCATCAACAGCTGTTTCACCCTGATCTTTCAGGACGTTGGAAAGTGGGGATTGAATTAGTCCAGTGAGCTTTTGAGAGGAGTGGCATTCGGAGAAATAGAACAGAATCTCTAAGAAAAGAGGATGTTTGCTTAAAAGTCAACTTGCCGTGTGAACTTCTGGATGGTGGAAGTTTGTGCCAGTTTCAGAGAATGTTCCTCAAGTTGTGTGCTGTCGCTGCGTTTTGAAAGATGCTCTGAGAGAAAGAATTTCTCCTATGACTGCTTGACCAAGAGCTCTACCTGCCCGATTGAAGATCAGGTGATACAGCTTTACTTTTTAAATGTTTAACTCTTTAAAACTTTTCACTGAAGTATAACACACAATCAGAGAAGTTAAAAAATAAATTTTGGCTTGGAGACTTTTTTTTTTTTTAAGAAGATGTTGGGGGTACGAGTTTATTAATTAATTAATTTATTTTTCCTGTCTTGGGTCTTCGTTTCTGCGCGAGGGCTTTCTCTAGTTGCGGCGAGCGGGGGCCACTCTTCATCGCGGTGCACGGGCCTCTCACTATCGCGGCCTCTCTTGCTGCGGAGCATAGGCTCCAGACGCGCAGGCTCAGTAGTTGTGGCTCATGGGCCTAGTTGCTCCGCGGCATGTGGGATCTTCCCAGACCAGGGCTCGAACCCGTGTCCCCTGCATTGGCAGGCAGATTCTCAACCACTGCGCCACCAGGGAAGCCCAGCTTGGAGACTTTTCATGCTATCACACCTGTGACACCAGTCCTTAGACAAGAATGGACAGGCCACGCCCATTTCCAGGCATTGGGCCCCATGCCCCAAGGTAACCACATCCTGAGTGTTATCATCATAGATGTAGAGGTGCCTGTGCTTGAAATTGGCATAAATAGAAACATATAGCATGCCCTCTTCTGCATCCTGCTTATTTCATTCAATTGTATGTTTGTGAGATTTACTGATAATTTCAGGTGGAGTCGTAGGTCATTCATTCTCACTGCCCAGTGGTATTCTGTTGTAAGTATGCACCACAATTTATAAATCCTACTGTTAATGGGCATTTTGGGTAGTTTCCAAGTTGGGGCTGTTACGAACTGTGCTGCAATGAACATTCTTACTCATATCTTTTGAGGGATGTTTTTACACGTTTCTGTGGGACAGACAAGAGCTGGGACGTAGAGCGTGGATGCATGAAGTTCAAGTGGATGCCCCAAACAGCTTTCTAAAGTGGGTATCCAAACTAATGCAGCTATCTGCAGTTTTTCCACATCCTTGCCAATGTTAGATTTTATTTTTCTTTTTAATTTTACTCAATCTAGTAGGTGTGCCTTGACATCGAGCTGAGATTTCAATTTGCGTTTACTTGCTAACCGATGGGGCTAAGCAACTCTTTATGTTAATGGGTCATTTGCATATCCTCTTTTTGTTCAAGTCAGCTCATTTTTCTACTGAGTTGCCTGTCATTAATTTGTAGGAAATTTTTAATATGCTCTGGGTACAAGTTGTTTGTTATATTTGCTGCAAATATCTTCTACTCTATACATTGTCTTTTCATTTTATTAATGATGTCTTTGGATGGACAGAGCTTCTTGATATTATTATTTTCCAAATTGTCTTGTTTTCCCCTTCTGGTTAGTGTTGTCTTGGAACCTTTTAAAGGAAATTTTGCCCACTCCAAGGTCATAAAGATGTTCTATGTTTTTTCTGAGAAGCTTTATTGTTTTGTCTTTCATATTTAGATCTACAGTCCATCTGGAATTGGCGTTTATGCATGGTGTCAGTTGGAGACCAAAAAGTCATTGTTTTCAATAAGAGTATTAAATTAACCCAGGACTGCTTATTGAAAAGAGCATCCCTTCTCCAATGCACTTGGTGTCACCTTTATCACGAAGTTGTCTTTATTCCACTTGTATGTCTATTGTCTGTTTGTTGCTACACAAATACCTTACCATACTATGACTTTATAATAGGTCTTGATTTGGTAGGGTAATTTATCCATCTCTTATTCAAGATTGCCTTTGTCATTGAAATTATACATTTTTAAATTAGCTTATCAGTTTCCACACACACACACACACACACACACACACACACTCTCTCTCTCTCTCTCTCTCTCTCTCTCTCTGTCTCTCTCTCTCTCGCTCTCCTGCTCGGATTCTGTTGGGGACTACATTGCATCTACTTCACCCACCCGGGGAGAATTAGCCACTTAACAATCCTGAATCCTGTTCTCCATGGCCACGGTATATCTCTCCATCTTATTCAAGTCTTTAATTTCGCTCAACAATATTTAATTTGCAGTGTAGAGGGCTTATAAAACTTCTGTCAGATATATCTTAGGGGTGTTTGATAGTTTTTGTGCTATTTTAAATTTCATTTTAGTTTGTTGCTGATATATAGAAATATCACTGATGTTTGGATATTATTCACATAGCTTTTCAATGACAGAGCTGACCAAAATAACACCCAAAAGCCACTGTCGTGGATTGATAACTCGCTCTCTGCACTTTTAAAATGAAGAGGTGAGGAGAACTCTATTTAAATCCAGAGAAATCTAAGCCTGAGTTTTATAGAAACAGATCACCACTAGGCATAAACATTTATATATATATATATATATATATATATATATATATATAAAAAACATCTTTATGTATAAAGACTTACTAATTTAAACAAATAGGGACAAGGATACCATGGATCCATAAACAAATAGTATACATATTCGACTTTTATTTCTGTTGAGTTTTTATGACACAAGCTTTCAAAGAATGATCAGTTAAAGCTTATATTTTTTTCAAATATAAATGGATGTTTACATTTAAAAATAGTTTTTAAAAAGGTATTTATAACATTTGCTTATCAAACAATAAACATACAAATGTAATATAAAGATAAATCATCCTTATCAGTACCTGGAGAACTGTAAACTTGCAAAGAGTTAAGTTCAAATTAATAAAATTTACTTGTACTATATACAATGATAATTTGAATATATATAAGATACTTAATAAATACACATACAAACATGCATATAAACACAGATACCTTTAGCCTTTTAGTTATATAACTGCTTGGCAATATCTTCTCAGTAAATATATATACATATATAACATGACCTCTCAAGCATGTTAATTAATACTACTTATTCATGTCACAAAACAGACCAGGAACAATGAGAATATACTTGCAAGAATAATGCAAAAGCGAACAATATTATGTAGATTTGTATCTAGATGTTTTTCATAGACAGTGAAATAAATGTTCCAGGATATTTAAATTCATTTAGTTTTGAAACCCGAAAAATGCAATGAATGATACCATTTAATAAAATTAGATATTTTAGACATACAGAATAAACAAGATGTTTATAGCCTGATACATTATACATATTTATTTGTGGGTCCATGTGATAAGATTTTGTTTCTGTTCACTGATTTATCCTCAGTGTCTGGAGCTGGCACAGAGTAGGTGCTCAATAAACACTTCTTGGATGATGGAATGAGTATCAGCACGTATTTCAATAAGCTTTGGAACAGCTACATTCATGACTGAAAGTCAAAAATCAAGCGACATCCTGAATATTTATGCAGAATAACTAAAAAGCTATGGAAAAGCACATAGGTCATTCTCTTCCTACTTTGAGCTGTTTTTGCATTTACTCATGTGATCTGCACCTCCTGGCAGAAAGCACAATTTCGAACCTTCACGATAACTATTTCTTTGAGAAGACTGGAGAACATTGTCTCAGAGGGCTTCCCGGGGCCTGGAGGCAAGGCCTGAAAAGGTTGATGACTCGCCCAGGCTGGAGCTGTGCTGCTAGCACTTCAGCTGTGCCGTCCACTGCTGCAAGGCCAGCTCGTGCAGACACTTCCTTGACATCACATGCTAAAGCAATCGTATTCATTCATATTTTTGGTTACACTTACATGAAACAATTCTTCCTATTGTCTTAAGAGTCCGCACTCAGCAAGAAGGTGGAATTAAAAATTCCCCTAATACCTTTAAAGCAGTAGAGTATCTTTTAGCTTAAACAACCGGCACTGTTGACACACCAGGACAATATATGCAAGTAACTGTGTCTAGATTTGTGTAATAGCAAAGCAGGCATTAAGTTAATTATTTTACCCTTTTAGGGGCTTGCTCTATTAGAATATACCTTCTTATTTAAATGTGCTCCTTACAAAGAAAACTCGTCTAATATTGATAAAAGAGGGACACAAAGTTGGGTTAAGTCAAATTCTAGACTAGCTGTTCAATAAATCTTTGATTTAAACTATTTACAGACAACAAGGAATATAAGAGGTTTGGGTTTTCTGGTGAAGGCTGAACCTAGGAGTCAGTTCTGTAGATTTCTCTTAAAATTCTCGTTTTGCAGCCCACCTGCCTCTCCCACAATCCAGTCTTTGCTCAGAATGTGTAACTATATTCTGGCCTTAAATAGCAGGCCCTATTCATACTGTTCATCATTATCACTCTTTAAGCCAAACTGGGGCTCCGAGCTGCATCTGATCCTTGACAAAATAGCAAGTCCCAGGACTCCAGAACTTCTGCTTCAATAAAAGCTAAACTCAGTGTAGGGCTTCCCTGGTGGCGCAGTGGTTGAGAGTCCGCCTGCCGATGCAGGGGAC